CTCTTAGCACCTTATCATATGCTTTTTCTAAGTCTATAAATACCATATGTAACTTTCTCTGTTTTTCTCCATATTTCTCCATCATCTGCCTTTTTTTTTTAATTTCCTTTAAATGTATAGCTCTAAAATGATTGCCTTTTATATGACAAACACTTATTTAAATCACATGTGATGATGCAGTTATCATTTTAAATGTTGTAGTAAACTCATTTGGGGATTTAGTGAATACCATGATTGGGGAAAAATCTTTTTGGAAAATATGTTATTTATGCCAGCAATGTTATGATCATGCAAACTACAGTTTAAAGAAAAGTAAATTGTATGTAAACAAAATTTTGATATTATTGTTTACAAAGAGAGTAATTATCTAGGTTATCCAAAGAAATCATTGCAACAATAATTTTATTAAGTGTAAAAATATGAACAGTAAAAGCCAAAAACATTATAGAACAGGTATTTAACCTCTATGTTATTACCCTAATTCTGAATAAAAATATCTACTACTTCTAAATTCTCCTTATCATAGTTATCATGACAAAACCTACAAATAAAAATATACATCACCAAAAATATCCCAAGCATAAGTCAAAATATATAAAATACAAAACGTACATTTCATGTCTGTAATTTTAATATTTGGGAAACAAAATGTTCTATTCTAAAATATATCCCATCACATAATGCCCAGTGTAAAGAAAAACAAAAAAAACAACAAAAAAAGACTTAATAGCTAATTTCTCCACTTGACTAAGACACATTTGGAAAGTTTGTGAAGAAAACATTAACAGATTCTCTTATAATATCAAAACTTAAGTGAGTGCCAGAAAATAAGACCTATCAGCTTTATGGTTGGAAATACAGTATCCATCTACCATTCCACACTCCTACCTAAACTGTATAAAATTAGACATCACATATAACTACAGGAATGGTTCCCTGCTACATCTAAGTTCATGGAAACTTAAAATGTGCTCAAAATAATCCTGTGACGAGAAAGGAAAACGAGTAGTGCATAACGATGACAAAGTTAAACATCAAGAATACTGATTATCAAATATCTACTGAGCATTGTGTGTATCATCTGAACAATGGTCACAAAATCTGATAGAATTACCTACTCCTTCACCTCTGTAAGGGAAGACTGGGGGAAATGAAGAGAAAAAAAATCATAGGCAACCATTTTCTTTATGGCAACAGCATCACTTGCGGATAGTCTCTCTCATTCCCGTTTTTTTCTTTCGTCAGGGACAACTTTGAGGTGAATGCTGGCAGCGTGAAAGGCGATCCTGGCTTTCTCTCGCATCCTCCATCTTTGCAAGTGTAGCCGTGAGGACAACAGTGCTCCTGGTCGCTGCAGCAAGTTGCCTGGAATAAAAATATATAAACATAATCATAAAAAAAAAAAAAAAAAAGCAAGCAACCAAACAAAACACACACTCATACATACCAGCGTACACTCAACCTCCCTCTCTTTCTTCTCCTTGACTATCTGCAGCCAAAAAAAACACCAATATCTCGCACAATCAAAGAAACACGTCCTTCCTTGCCACTCTCACAATAGCACAACAGCCTCAATAACCCTTCAAGTCATCTGAAACTCACCTTAGGCATTGGACAGCATCCATACTCTCCGCCACCAACACTGCAGCAAGTATTTCCATCGGGGCAGGTGAACTCCTTGTTAGGACAGATCACGTCATTCTCTGGTTCTTTGTAGCTCTGTGACAGGGAAATACTATCATTGATATCTGTGCACCTCTGGATGTAACTAATGTATTTTTTGTCCACACTCCCAAAATCTTCCTAAAAAACACAAGAGAAAAGATGAAAAGAGAAGAGAAAAGAAGAAAAGAGAAGAGAGGAGAAAAGAAGAAAAGAAAAGAGAAGAGAAAAGAAGAAAAGAGAAGAGAAGAGAAAAGAAGAAAAGAGAAGAGAAGAGAAAAGAAGAAAAGAGAAGAGAAGAGAAGAGATAAGAAAAAGAGAGAAAAGAAGAGAAGACAAGAGGAGAAATGAGAAAAGAAAAGAAAAGAAAAGAAAAAGATGAGAAATGAAGAGAAAATAAAATAAAACAAAACAAAATAAAATAAAAAATAAAATAAAAGAATAGAAATAGAAAATATACAACAACAAATAAATAAACAAATAAAAATAAGATAAATAAAAAAGAAAAATGCGAATAAACAAAGAAAGAAAAAAAAAAAACTCGGACTTATCACAAAAAAAAAAACAGCCCATCCTTACCTTCACTTCCCCTATGCTCTCCGAGATATTTGTGAAATGGAGATGGACCAGCTGTAGACCATCTCCCGTGGCCTTCTCACAACCCGCAGAAGAACAGCGGTAGCCGTGGGGGCAGCAGTGAGCCTTGTCTTCGCAGCATGTTGCCTGTTGGTAATAAGTGAGGGATAATGAATGTACATCTTTGCAAATGTAGCCGTGAGGACGACAAAAAAAGCAACAAAACAAAACACACACTCATACATACCAGCGTACACTCAACCTCCCTCTCTTTCTCCTCCTTGACTATCTGCAGCCAAAAAAACCACCAATATCTCGCACAATCAAAGAGAACACGTCCTTCCTTGCCACTCTCACAATAGCACAACAGCCTCAATAACCCTTCAAGTCATCTGAAACTCACCTTAGGCATTGGACAGCATCCATACTCTCCGCCACCAACACTGCAGCAAGTATTTCCATCGGGGCAGGTGAACTCCTTGTTAGGACAGATCACGTCATTCTCTGGTTCTTTGTAGCTCTGTGACAGGGAAATACTATCATTGATATCTGTGCACCTCTGGATGTAACTAATGTATTTTTTGTCCACACTCCCAAAATCTTCCTAAAAAACACAAGAGAAAAGATGAAAAGAGAAGAGAAAAGAAGAAAGGAGAAGAGAGGAGAAAAGAAGAAAAGAGAAGAGAGGAGAAAAGAAGAAAAGAAAAGAAAAGAGAAGAGAAGAGAAGAGAAGAGAAAAGAAAAAAAAAGAAGAGAAGAGAAAAGAAGAAAAGAGAAGAGAAGAGAAAGAAGAAAAGAGAAGAGATAAGAAAAAGAGAGAAAAGAAGAGAAGACAAGAGAAGACAAGAGGAGAAAAGAGAAAAGAAAAGAAAAGAAAAAAAAAGAGAAATGAAGAGAAAATAAAATAAAACAAAACAAAATAAAATAAAAAATAAAATAAAAGAATAGAAATAGAAAATATACAATAACAAATAAATAAACAAATAAAAATAAGATAAATAAAAAAGAAAAATGCAAATAAACAAAGAAAGAAAAAAAAAAAACTCGGACTCATCACAAAAAAAAACCCAGCCCATCCTTACCTTCACTTCTCCTATGCTCTCCGAGATATTTGTAAAATGGAGATGGACCAGCTGTAGACCATTTCCAGTGGCCTTCTCACAACCCGCAGAAGAACAGCGGTAGCCGTGGGGGCAGCAGTGAGCCTTGTCTTCGCAGCATGTTGCCTGTTGGTAATAAGTGAGGGATAATGAATGTACATCTTTGCAAATGTAGCCGTGAGGACGACAAAAAAAGCAACAAAACAAAACACACACTCATACATACCAGCGTACACTCAACCTCCCTCTCTTTCTCCTCCTTGACTATCTGCAGCCAAAAAACCACCAATATCTCGCACAATCAAAGAGAACACGTCCTTCCTTGCCACTCTCACAATAGCACAACAGCCTCAATAACCCTTCAAGTCATCTGAAACTCACCTTAGGCATTGGACAGCATCCATACTCTCCGCCACCAACACTGCAGCAAGTATTTCCATCGGGGCAGGTGAACTCCTTGTTAGGACAGATCACGTCATTCTCTGGTTCTTTGTAGCTCTGTGACAGGGAAATACTATCATTGATATCTGTGCACCTCTGGATGTAACTAATGTATTTTTTGTCCACACTCCCAAAATCTTCCTAAAAAACACAAGAGAAAAGATGAAAAGAGAAAAGAAGGAAAGAAAAGAGAAGAGAAAAGAAAAAGAGAGAAAAGAAGAGAAGACAAGAGAAGAGAAGAGGAGAAAAGAGGAGAGAAGAGAAAAGAAAAGAAAAAAACGTGAAAAGAAAAGACGAGAAATGAAGAGAAAATAAAATAAAACAAAACAAAATAAAATAAAACAAAGATTAGAAATAGAAAAAATACAATAACAAATAAACAAATAAAAATAAAAGAAATAAAAAACAAAAACGCATATAAACAAAGGCAAAAAAAAAAAAAAAAAAAAAACAAAAAACAGACCCATCACAGAAAAAAATAAAATAAAATAAAATAATAAATAAATAAATAAAAAATGAGCCCATCCTTACCTTCACTTCTCCTATGCTCTCCGAGACATTTGTGAAATGGAGATGGACCAGCTGTAGACCATCTCCCGTGGCCTTCTCACAACCCGCAGAAGAACAGCGGTAGCCGTGGGGGCAGCAGTGAGCCTTGTCTTCGCAGCATGTTGCCTGTTGGTAATAAGTGAGGGATGATGAATGTACAGAGGGAGGAGTGATTAAAAAGAGGGGGAAGAGAGGGAAGAAAGAAAGGAGAGGAAAAATGGAGGGGGAGAGACTGAAAGGAGCCAGGGAGCTAGGGAGCCAGGGGAAGGGGGAGGGGGACAGGGAGGGGGAGGGTGTGTGTGTGTGTGTGTGTGTGTGTGTGTGTGTGTGTGTGTGTGTGTGTGTGTGTGTGTGTGTGTGTGTGTGTGTGTGTGTGTGTGTGTGTGTGTGTGTGTGTGTGTGTGTATGTCTGTGTGTGTGTATGTCTGTGTGTGTGTATGTCTGTGTGTGTGTATGTCTGTGTGTGTGTATGTCTGTGTGTGTGTGTGTGTGTGTGTGTGTGTGTGTGTGTGTGTGTGTGTGTGTGTGTGTGTGTGTGTGTGTGTGTGTGTGTGTGTGTGTGTGTGTGTGTGCACGTGTGTGTGCACGTGTGTGTGCACGTACGTGTGTGTGTGTGTGCGTGTGTGTGAGTGTGCGCGTGTGCGTGTGCATGTGCGTGTGTGTGTGTGTGTGCGTAAATATAAATATATATATACAAAAAAATAAATTAATGGAAAAAAGAGAGAAAAATTTACATACATACATACATAAACCTACCTCTGGCATTGGGCAACATCCATAAAAACCACCGCCAATGTCACAACATGTGTTCTCATCAGGGCAAACTGAGAGCTTGTCTGGGCATATTACAATTTGTAAATCTTCATCTGTCTGCTGTGGTTCTTTCTGAGAAGGAATTAAGCTAATCTTAAGGGAAATAATAATAATAATAAAAAAAAAAAAAAAAAAATACAGTCATCATAAAGAAAGGTGGCAGTAACCCTGAAACTGAAGCATTGCTCAGACAGTTTATAGGGAAAATAATAAATCATCCAATAATCAAGCAATCAAAATACAACAATCACGGCCAAGAAGCTGAACTACAACAAAGTACAAAAGTTATTGAATGGCAACTGAAACATAGCAATGTACTAAAAGAAACTCAACCTTAGACTAAGCTCATCAGGCTACCCTTAAACCCTCACCTCAGCAGTCTTCTTAGCAGGGGTGACTTTGCGATGTAAGGGAGCATCGTCGTGGTCTGGGTTCAGCTCGCAACCACCAGTAACACATCTATAACCGTGGGGACAGCAGTTCATATGGTCACTGCAGCATGTTGCCTGTGTGGGAGATATTACTACCATTAATATCAATACCTTATATGTTCTTTTCCAATACAAAATCAGAAAGGAGAGATAATGCAACACAATTAATCCATAAAAAGTCAAACCTTTTCAAGTGAAGAAAGCTTGAGATTGCTATCTGTGGAGAATTACATAAGAGTATAAACCTAGATTTCCTACCAATATGAGATGAAAATTGTCCCTGGTAATGACAATCCTGGCAAATTGCCCGACATGAACCACACACTGAGTTTCCATTTCACCGGTATATGAGTATCTATATATTGATCACTCTATCTCATCTCCCCATTTACTTTATTTCCTACCCATAATAATATAAGGAGCATGGTAAATATAAGCAAGCATGCTTCATAGATATAAATATACTACATACATACTGCTGAGCCAAAATAAAAATATATCAATAATAATATAATATCAATACCTTATATGTTCTTTTCCAATACAAAATCAGAAAGGAGAGATAATGCAACACAATTAATCCATAAAAAGTCAAACCTTTTCAAGTGAAGAAAGCTTGAGATTGCTATCTGTGGAGAATTACATAAGAGTATAAACCTAGATTTCCTACCAATATGAGATGAAAATTGTCCCTGGTAATGACAATCCTGGCAAATTGCCCGACATGAACCACACACTGAGTTTCCATTTCACCGGTATATGAGTATCTATATATTGATCACTCTATCTCATCTCCCCATTTACTTTATTTCCTACCCATAATAATATAAGGAGCATGGTAAATATAAGCAAGCATGCTTCATAGATATAAATATACTACATACATACTGCTGAGCCAAAATAAAAATATATCAATAATAATAATAATAATGTGTGTATCTTAGCTGCACAATATGGAATTTGTAAAGAAATAATTTATCTATTACAACATGTGCAAATGCAGTGAGAGAATGCAAGTACCTACATCTGGTAAAAATGCCGAAATCAGAGTTAGAAGTTATTGGCTGCAGATGCTTTTAACTAATGTTAGTAGTATATCTAACTGCAAAATGAAAAAGATACGTAACATAAAATATGGGAAAAGTGACAATAGTAAGAAAAGAATACCAAAACTTGAACCCTTGTAAACATTTCTGTGTTGGTATCTTTGCTCACAATCAATTTGTTTCTTTTCTCTCTTACATGATCCATGGGGCAGCATCCGTAAGCTCCAGACTGTAGCTGACAACAGGTGCTTCCATCAGGGCACAGGTAACGCTCATCAGGACACACAACAGTCGAGACATTTGATGCTGTTTTCTGCACCTCTTCTTTCTTGGGAATATGAGAAACATGGGCCAGTTGTTTTGTTAGCAGTGAGAATGCTGGTACTGAAAGGGACTCCCTCTTCTCCTGCATGAAAATGAAAATGTTCAGTTAAGAAATAACACCAATAAAGTTGAAAGGAATATTCATATATAACATTTGTGCATAGCAATAAATATACCTACAGATTCACTAATATAGCTTTTGTTTCAAGAGTGAGTTACTAGAAAATAATAAAGTTAAAATACAACCATTCATTCCTCCTAATCTCTACACCTATCAAGCTAAAAGACTGAAAGAATAGAGTTGATTGCAACCTTTGTAGAAAGGGTACAAAAGTGAAAGAACAGCTTCAATGATCTTTTTTAGACAATCACACCACTCCCAGCCATCAGGACAATAATACAGATGCAAGAAACTAAAAATACTCTGATAGCAGAGAGAATGGATACATGAAGGATTAAAAAAATATATATATAAATTTAAAAATTTCATACACACTCAATCAGTTGGTAAGTCATTCAACAACTTAACAGCTGTTTCCTTAAAATTTCTCAGGAACT